AGTGTATTGCCCGCATGTATGTAAGCGCACCTGTGTTGTGGAATGCCTGCAGAGGTCAGAAGAGGGCATCACATTCCCCTGGAACTAGAGTTACAGGTGGTTAGCCATCATGTGGGTGCTGGGATTCGAACCCAGGTCTTCAAGAACAGCCAGTGCTCTTAACTGCTGAGCCATCTCTCCAGATCCTGTCTTATAATTCTTTAAAAAAAATTCTAGCTCCAATAGGATGTATTTATTTGTGCATGTGGGTTCATGCAGATTCTCAGATGAAGGTATTAGGTTTAAACTGTATTAAATGTGTCTTGAACCCTGGTATATGTCCCATCCTATTTCATCCATGACTTCCTTTGCAGGTTATTTGTAGGTGATTAACAATATTATGTTGTTTCACACACACATGGTTTAGTGTGTATCTCTTGAGATAATACTGTTTGAAAATCACCATACTTATGATTCATACATCTAAAAATTAGAGATGCTTTCTTAACATCTTCACATCCCAGCAAAGCGTCTGACTTGCAGTTTACACTATCCAGCTCTATCAAGACAGCTGCTCCCACAGGCAGCCGCTCCCCTGTGTATTCCCTCCTCCCTAATTTGCATCTCCATGCAGTCTAGTTTGTAAACATTTCTACCATATTGGGTTTTTTTTTTTTTTTTTAATCTTTTTGAGACAGGGTCTCCCTGTAGCCCCAGCTGTCCTGGAACTCACTATGTAGACCAGGCTGGCCTCGAACGCACACACTTTTATACACACACATCCAAAAGGGAGATGGGAGAGAGAGGTGGGGATGGAGGAACAGTTATTCTCTTACTGCATTCAGACCATTTCAACACAGTGGAGGCGCATATACAGCATTATCACCCATCATGTTGAGATTGTGGGGTGGGGTCCAGGAATCACCCTTAAGGGTCTGTAGAGGACGCAGTGTTCCAAATGGAAGCGACACTCTTGATGGCTCCTCAGTGTGTTCAGATCTCTGAGAACTGGGAAGAGGGGCCACCCAAGGCCTTGACCCATGGAAGACAAGGGAGGCATAATGCAGATGCTGCTCTGTCCCCACGGCGGGGGCCTCCTGTGAGGAGCTTGGGTTCCCAGGAGGGCTGTGCACACTGGAGTCCTGCTGTTGGCTCTGTATGGAAAGGAAACAAGAGGGTCACAGTGGGACATGGGTTTGGGGACTCAGGGAAGTCAGAGAGTCTGAGAAGTGCGTTCACCCAATAATACACTTAATGCACTCTTGTCTTGGCATCGCTTAGTCGTTTATTCAACATTTATAACATCTCTTTGCTGCTTGCCTGATCTCCCACACATCCAAGACTGAGAAGGAAAATGCTATTATTTTACCCGTTGTACAGACAGGGCAACCAAGCCTCAGGGAGGTGGGTTCCTTCTCAAGATCACTCATGGTCATAAACTGCTGACCATAGATTCCACCCCAGATCTCCCATGGGACACCATTTGTGCTGGGCCTGGATACACGTGAGGGCTGCAATAGAGAGATGGCCCTGTGGTCAGGTGTCAGAGGGATGAAGACAGACAGCTAATTCCATAGACTGTCAGCTGTGCCTTCATGTACGATAGGTAGAGAGACCAAGAGCAGATTCCTCAGACCCAACCCTCTCCTGTGGGTCTCCACGTGTTTGAGATGTCAGGGCAGTGCTGTGATCACAAGGCCTGAGGTGCTGTCACAGGCAGGTGCAGGGGGCATCCTGCACACCCTGCACCAGAGACTGCCAAGAAGCCAGTGGTTACACAGTGTGACTGTTTCCTGCTGTTGGCCTATTTCCTGACTGTTTAACTGCATTTCTCAAACGCCTCCTTGGCACCCACAGTGTCCACCTCCTCCCTCTGCCCTCTGCGACTCTCCGCAGTAGGAGAGATTTCTTCCTTCCAGGCTCCCAGACCAGCTGGGGTCAAGATCAGCACGATCCACTCAGTTAAGTCCCAGCATCATTCCCACCCTGGCTGACTGTGCATGTCAGCACCGGAGACAGACATCCAGTCCCCTCCTTGACCTCAGGACTCATCTCATCACCCTGCTCCCAGGTGGCTCTGCTCAGGGGCAGCTCCTCCAGTCCCCTCCCCTTCCATGCATCTCCGTGACTCTGAGTGTGCAGGGCCCAGGGTGCTGTCTGTGGACTCCCTTTCTGGTTTTATCCACATCACACCTTGATGTGGAGGGTCCCAAGACTGTATCCCGTGTGGACCATCCCCTGACTGCAGATTCTGACATCTGGCTCAGAGGCTCTTCATCCTCTTAGGAACTGGAGAGATGTGGATCCTTCTGAAAGTACTCCTCCTGCAGGTCTGGCCATGCCAGTCATTAGAGACCAGTCAGAGAGACCACAGCAGTGTCACCTGTAAACTTCAGCCACGTGTGGCACCTCCAGACAGCTACACCGTCTTTGATGTCTGTGACACCTATCAGGTGGAGGCAGTGAGCTGTCCTGGCTCAGTGCACACAGTCAGACTGCTGCCTGTTGGCATGTTCATCAAGATGTACCCAGAGTCTGAACTCACACCCAGGTCCAGCACTGGGACCCCGGACTGCAGCCATTGCTCTTGTTTTTTATTTTTATTTTTTACACGTGTGAATGTTATGCCTGCATGTGTGTAAGTATACTGTGTCATGCAATGCCCATAAGAGACAGAAGGGGTCGGATTCCCTGAAACTGGTGTTATGGACAATTGTTAGCCTCCAACTGGGTGCTGGGAACTGAACCCAGGTCCTCTGTAAGAGCAGCCAGTGCTCTAACCACTGAGCAATCTCTCCAGCCCCTCTTTTTTCTTTTTATCTTGTTGGGTTTTGTTTGGCCCTATTGCCTGGGCCTCGGGAGTATTGCACCTGTATGTTAGATTCAGAAGCAGCACAGATGTCCTTCATGACACACTGCAGGGAGGAAGAAGTGGAAGACGGGGGCACTGAGAAGGAAGATGGGGGTCCTGGCTGGGTTACAGGGCAAGAGTGGTACCAGTGAGACAGAGACCCAGTGAGAGAAGTGTGTGGAAGGATGTGCTGGCGTGTCTGTGCTGTTCTAATCTGGGCTCCTGATGACCCAGGAGACACTGCTTCCCCCAGGGACAGACAGTTACTCAGGACAGTGAAGGGCTTGCCTGTGGACTCAGTCAAGACGTCCACCCCAACTGCATCCTCTAAGGAGCTCTGACACCCGGAGCCTCTGTGCTTCTACCCCACAGCTCCAGGTGCATGTAGCAGGTGAGTAGAGACAGCCTTGAACGCCAGAGCCAGCTACACTCAGACTGTCCTATTAACCTGCTGAGCCTGCTCTCCTGTCCCCTGTACCTTCCCATGAGCTCCACAGGTAAGGCAGTGTAGGATGATACCAGGGTGTGCCAGCAGCGTGCAGGCATGTCCATTTCTACTTGGACCCGAAGCACATGCTATTTTCTTGATGGTGACTGTTCCATAATTGGCAGACCTTACCATGCCTGAATGGTAAACACACACACACACATAATGAGCCAAGGGGACAGGAGACAAGCACAGACCAGGATGGCTGGATGGGGCACCATCATGGGCCATCCCAGGGAGGTGTCCTGAAGGAAGATGGGGTCTGAAGGTACCGTGTCTCTCACCTGGGAGGCTGGCTCAGTGATAGCATGGACATGATTCGTGCCTACAGAAGTCCTGTCTGCTTTCTTCCTATGTGCCTTTACTCTGGGGGAAGACAGGAGAGTCTTTCAGATTGGTTTGTACAAAGTAGAGGCCATTGCATGACTTTTAGAGGTAACCAAGGCAGGTCTAGGGAGCACTCGCCCAGTTGGCACAGCTGTAACTGGAAACTCTCCTCCTCCACTTCCTGGACATTCAGGACAGACCCATTCTTGGCCATGGCTGCACCCCTCGCACCCTGACCCAGCGCTGAGGCTCATGTGAAGAAGATGAGTCAGAGGCCGATGACGAGCGGGGCTGTGACACCAGCACCCCAGATGGCCGCTAGAACCATTCCTGATGTTTCTGCTGTCCCTGGATCCCCTGCTGAGGAAGGAGGCATGGCTGAGCTCAGATCTTAATAATTAGGGTTGTGTTCCTCCTCACGCTGTGTAGGGTTCAGACACTGACTCATCCCCCCATCCCCCTCAGCCTCATCCAGAGCCTCCTGGACACCCTTACCCACACTACACTCCAGTCCACCCGAGTCCTCTCCCAGCACCCGAGTTCCTGTAGACACAGGGTGTCCTTGGCAGACTCAAGAACAGGGCACAGCAGGCCCATGAAGCCTGGATCCCAAGGAATCCACTAGAGGTGGTGTCCTGGACAGAGAACGCACAAGACAGCACAGGGGAATGCCCAAGTGTTCCCTCCAGTCTCACTGGGTGGTCACTCAACATCAGTGTGGGCCTTTATAGAGAGTATGAAAAGAGAGCAGGGACATGCCTGTTGGACCCCTGGACCCCCAGACGACCTACTGGTCACACTTGGCCATGCCTCCCTTTCAGGATGACAGCACCCAGATTCAGAATGTGCCTCAGCTCTGTGTGTCCTTCCAAGGGCACTCTGTCCAGCCGGGACCAGATGTCACTGCCAGTGGAACAGGGCAGTTGTGGGGGCTGCTCATTTTAGGCAGACATCAGGGCTAAAGGCAGAGGGATTGGCAGGAAATGTCCCAAATAGAATTTAAGGGCTGTGTTCATATTCCCTGTGACACAGTCGTGTGTGTCACTCATGCAGCACCAAGGGCAAGCCTGACTTGACCTGTGGAAAACAGGTGACAGTAACATGTCTATAAAAGTTTATTCTGTCAATGGGCCATCAGGAGCGGGACAGGGACGACACAGGAGGCCGTGCACCTGGGAGGGTGGCAGCTACGTGGGAATCTCCACACTGGTCATGCAGTTTTGCTGGAAAACATAAATGGTCTAAACACTAACATCTGTTTTGAAACTGTCCCCAGAAAGTTCAGTGACTAGAAGACACATCTGCACAGAGGGACGGAGAGGAAGCTGCTGGTCCCTCATGAATGTCTCCATCTTTTGTCAGAGAACCACAGAAGGAGCCTGACGGGATGCTCAGGATGAACCTCCCACATCTGAATCTGAAAACCCAGGTCTGGGGGGAGCTGGCACAAGACCCCAGTAACAGCTCCTGAGTGAGGTGTGCTGCTGGGCCAGGTCCCTGGAGACACTAAGTGGGGGAGCTTTGTAGCACGTGGAGTACAAGAGTGGTCTCACTTCCTTTGGGACGAGGTGAGGTAAGGCAGCACTCTGATACCATCCCAGAAATCAGACTTGCAGAGGGGCAGGTCCTGTGTTCCTCCATATCTTCTACTCAGGCAGACTTCCAGGGTTTGGGGACCGTAGTTCTCCAGCCCTGCCTCCCTGTCCCTTCACACCCTCAGGGACACAGTGTCCTGGCTGTACTCACAGGTGACATTAAGCTGGACTGTCCTCTCCACAGTCACACTGCTGCAGGAAAGGTCACCTGACAGGTGAGGTTGGTGCCATGGTCCTGGGGCCGGGCTGTGAGGGTCAGCACCGAGGAGCGTGTGGTCCTGGGGCCCAGGGAGGTGAGGGCAGCTGACATCCAGAAGAAGTTGGGAGGTATCCCCTGTTCACAGGCCCAGGGCACAGAGCAGATCAGGTTGATGGGACAGCCAGGCTCCAGGGTCAGTGGGATGAGGATGTCAAGGGTGTGTGTCAGAGCTGGGGAGGAAAGAGGGATGGAAGCCATGGAGATGCACAAATGTGCCCCAGGGAGCAAACCCTGCCTCAGAACAGCCACCTCCCCTCAAACAGCTGACTATCTGGCCCGCTGGATCACCCGAGGGTGATGAGCAGGGGACCCGCCAGCCATTCCTGGAGCCCTCAGCTTCCTTCCAGTGACCTCCTTGCTTACCGAGCACACGCACAAACAGCTGACTTTCTCTGTAACTACATCTCATGGAAAGCTCTCCCACAATCACTAAGAAGTACATTCCTGCACCTCTTTTCTGTGTCTCTGATGAGCAGGGAGCAGTTCTGTTTCTGCGGGTCCCTGAGGAGATGGAATCGGTTCTTGGTTGCTTCCTTCACTGGCCGTTTGGGGTCATTTGTGGCCACTGGAGAGAAATCATCTTTCTGGTCCGCATCCAGGAACCAGTATCCAAAGACAGAGCGAGGGGAGGATGGATAGATGGGGTAGGCAACTGTGCAGGGCACAAGGACACACAGCCCCTCCTGGACGGTCACTGATTTGGGCACCGTTACGGTATCTCTGACCCTGAACCAGGGACCCTGCAGAGAAACAAGAGTTAACTTTGTTCTGCACTCGCAGCCCCCACCCCTGCACAACTCACCTGCCCACAGCAGGGGCAGCACCACTAGCCACAACATCACACGGCAAAACGTCTTGACTTTTTCCAGTGAGCAGAGAGGAGGCTTGAAGAGGCAGATGTGGACTGTAGAGGGTGAGAGGCCCAGGCATCGATGTCACAGAGCTGGGAAGAACCCCCAGAGCAAACCCAGGAATGAGGTCAAAGGGTCAAGTGATCCCAGAAGAGGAGCTTCCCTCACACATTGTCAGAGCTGTCAAGACCCTAGAGGAGCAGGATTTCCCCTCTGCACATGGGGCACCATGGGAGCCACACTCAGTGAGGTGGACGTACCCCAGCTCCTGGTCCGTCTGGGGCACTTCCTCCCATTCCACTGTCTGTATGAGGCCAGCAGGTGCTGTCTGTCCACCTACAGCCTCAACATGCTCTGGAGGATCAGCCTCCCACGGGCAAGACTCAGAAGGAGCTTTCAAAGGAACGAAGTACAGGAAGGATGCACAATAGGGCCTGCAGGGGTGCTTGGTTGTGGGAAAGCTCAGCAGTGTAAGAAGGTCCCTGTGGGGATCTAGGTAGATCTTTCTGGGGCGTCGTGCTCCTTTCTGCTCCTGGTAGACAGATCATAACTGGCCAGTGCTACTGGCCTGCGGTAACTCTGAGAACATTCTGTGAGGGAGCTGGTTGGGAAAGAAGTTAGTGACTTCAGGGAGCACAGGACTCCTCCTCGCCCTATGGGACCTGAGTGCAGGACCCAGGGACAGAGGCCACAGAGCTCCTTTACCTGGGTTCTCACCAGCCCCCTCAGGTGAGTCCCTGTCCCTTCCCCCCTTGACCTGACATCCCCCCTTGTCACTGTCCTGAGAGTGACAGCCAGTCCCCTCACTGTACAGTCCTCCCACCGCAGTGCTGGGGTCTGGGACGGGTTTTGCCCTGAACACTCCATCCACCAAGGACTCACTTGGTCCAGGGGAGCAGCTGGATGGGGAGGGGGGCGGAGCAGGCCTCGGTGCTGAAACAGGACCAGCAGTGGAGATTTAGGGACCACACAGCTCTGCAGAGTGATCTGAACACTGAGACTTAGGATCTGGGGCCAACGTTGGCCGGGACCGGACAGGAGTGAAGACTCTGCCTCTGCACTTTGGAGCCCCTGGGTGCTGTTTGTAAATGCAGTTCTACTGGAGCTCAGCCACGTGAACTGCCCTGTAGGAATCCACGGCTGCTATTGGATGTGGAAAGCAGAGCTGAGCAGCTTCAACACAGTCCACGTGTGTGCGAAGCCTGACATGTTTACCATCTGACCCTTTACAGAATCGTTTCCTGGCCCTTTACCTAGAAAGTCGTGTTGAAAACTTTCTACATGAATCTTATGGATTGGGGAACTTGGAAGTAAACTGCCTGCGTTCAGCTCTGAGGTTTAGTATGTTCTGAAAAGACTAATATGCATATTACTAGAGGCAGGATATAATAGCAACAGGAAACTTAAGTAGAAAAAGTGTAATGGCAAGAAAAGAAGATGTAGAATGTGATGTTTGGGATCAAATTCTATGTTAAGTTTTCATCCAAAATCCTACCTTCTTCTTTTCCCGACATCTCTAGACTGGCTGCCGTAAGAATGGAGAGAGAGAGAGAGAGAGAGAGAGAGAGAGAGAGAGAGAGAGAGAAACATGCTGAGTGCAGTGTAATCTAGGGAAGGTCTGCTGTGGAGTTTCTAGCTGAGAGTGAGGATGGCAGGTTCTGTCTGGGATGACCACACAGGGATTCTGGGAACATTTTCCAATGTAAGGATCAGTGTGTGGACCCTCCCCGCACCCCTGTGCTGCGTTCTCCCTGGATCTGTGTGTGTCACACCCTGCCTCCTTTAGGCGACCTGGAGCATCTTAATCCTCACCACAACTTTGAATAGCAGAACTGTAAAAATCCATCAGAGCAGGCCACTGTGGTACACACTGTTAATCCCAGCACTCAGGAGGCAGACGCAGACGGATCTCTGTGAGATTGAGGTCACCCTGGTGTACATAGTGCGCTCCAGGCCAGCCGGAGCTACAGGGAGACCCTGTCTCAAGAAAAAGACCAAAAATGCCATTACATGGGTGGGGGTGGGTGGAGATGGTTCACAGGGAAGCTGCTCACTGAGGACCTTAGCTATGATCCTTAGGGCCCCACTAAACCCACAAGCAAGAGCTCACATCTGTAATCCCAGCATCAGGAGGCAGACAGGGGGGTCCCAGAGGCTACTGGAGAGTCAGTCTATCTCAATCAGACAGTATCAGAGAGACTATAACTTAAAAATGAGAGACTATAACTTATAAAACAATATAAGTGCAGGGGATGATACCTAAAGATGTCCTCAAACTCCCATAATTGTACACATGGGCAAGAGAATGAGGACAAGAGGAGGGGGAGGGGAGGAAGGGAGAGGGAGGAAGGGGAGGAGAGGGAGAGGAGGAGGAGGAGAAAAGAAAAAGAAGAAGTGAAAGGAACAGAATGGGGTGGAGCTGGAGGAGGAGGATGACTAGGAGGAAGAGGAGGATGGGAATGATACTGAACAGGGAACCTAGACATGGAGGGGTCGGGGCTGTCGTGATGTAACACTGTTGGGAAATGAAAGAGCACAGGCTCGGTTCCAGGTCTCTTGCTGCAGTCAGACCATTTCGGCAGAGTGGAGACAGTGCAGCAGTGACTTCCATTGTCTCCTGGGATGGGAATCCTGCAGGAGTCATCCTGGGAGAGCCACAGAGGACACAGGGGCTCCCGGGGAGAGTGATGCCCCCAAAGGCTCCTCCCTGGTTTGGATGTCTTGGCACTGGAGAGAGGGGTGCTGCTGAGGCCTCAGCCCATGAAACATGAGGGGACATGGTGCAGGTCCTGCTGTGTCCCCAGGGTGGGAGCCTTCTGTGAGGAGTTCGGGTTCCCAGGATGACAGTGCCGACTGCAATTCTGCGTTGATCCTGTGTGCAGAGGAAAGAAGAGGATCACAGTGGCACATGGGGAAGGAGGACAGGTGAACGTAGAGGGTTTGCAAGGTGCCTTGTTCTAATATGACACTCATTTACTCTCATCTTCCACGAAGTGTTCTGTTGACATCAATTAGTCATTCACCCAACATCTACAGCAGATCTCTAAAATTACTCACGAACTAGAAACAAAATTTTATTTTACCAATTTTACAGTCAGAGAAACTAAGCCTCGTGGAGGTTGGGTGCTTCATAAGGACACCAGAGCTCCCTGAGACACCACATGTGCTGAGCACTGGATCCTTGGAGGGCAGCAATGCAGACAGGCCCTATGGCTCAGGTGTTAGAGAGATGGAGACAGATTGCTAACTACACACAGGAATGCCCGCTTTTGCAGCACGCAGGTGAGTCAGAGAAAACCTACAGAGGAGCTTCTCCTCAGGATCCCGCCTTCCTGTGTATCTGCAAGTGATGGGGAGACCAGGAAAATGTCATTACCACAAGGACTGAGGTCATAGACAGGGGCACAGGGCATCCTGGAGGCAGCTCATCAAATACTGCAGGAAATCAGCCTGGGACCATTTCCTGCTGCCAGTCCATTTCCCAGCTCTGATTTACTGCTGTTTCTGATTCTGATGGTGGCTCTGTGTTTACAAGGAGAGGAGGCTCAGGCATACACGATGGGAAGAAGGGAAGAAGGATGGGCCAGATAGAGGAGGAAATAGAGATCACATGGTGGTTCATGGGATGTGGCATGCAGAGAGGTCACAGGAGAGAGCCACTCCTGGCTCTGGATAGAGCTGGGGCTACTCAGCCAGGAGCGTTGTGGGGCCCAGTAGTGGGGCTGGCTCCTCCAGGTTGTGGGCTGCTCACCTGTGTTGCTGGACAGAACCACCCTATGGCCATCACTTGGAGTGGGTGAAAGAGGTTGTAGGATGCAGGGTCCTCATGTCACTAACTCTGAAAGTGTCTGCATTGTCCACAGGTGCTGCCTGTACCATCTTCTTCCTGCAGAACCTCACACTGAGAGAGGAGACCAGGGATCAGTGTGGGAACACAGGGACCATGTGCAGAAGGCCCTCCCTGAGTCCTGAGCACACTGGAGGAAGAGGAATGCCTAGGTACCAGCACCTCCTTGCTGAGAACAGTCTGCTTCCTCATGGACCAGAGCTGAACACCCTCAACATCTGGCCATTGTGGAGTGCCCACCACCCACCAGGCCCTGCCAGACACACTTCTGTCCAGTTCCCTTCCCATCACCAGGGTGCCATCCCCAGCTGTGAGTCCTCCCTTCCCAAGCCTCCTCCTCAGCCCAGGGCCAGTACTCACCCGAGGATGAGGCAGAGCCCCAGAAGCAGTACCTTGACAGCCGCCTCCCCCACAGCCACCAGGACCACCTCAGTCCTGCAGCCCGAGTTCCCTGCAGAAACGTCACCTGGCTGGATTCACCTGTGACCCATGGCCCAGTTCCTTCCTCTTTACGTAGGACTTGGATGTTTTGGTTCCTCAGCTGACAGGATGAAGAACTTGAAAACACAACCCACTGAATGTGACAACCTTTTGGCATGTAATACAAGGGATGAGTCTATCATCCAGCAGACAGAGAGCCCTCTGGCTATTCACATTTAAAGGGACCCTAACAAACCAGTTGGAAAAGTGGCACAGGTTGGGTGTTGTGGCACATGCCTTTAATCCCAGCCCTCGGGAGGCAGAGGCAGGTGGATCTCTGTGAGTTCGAGACCAGCCTGGTTTACATAGTGAGTTCCAGGACAGCTGGGGGTGCAGGGAGACCCTGTCTCAAAAAGACAAAAAATATATTTTTTTAAATTAAAATAAAAAAGTGGAGGACATGCTAATGAGTGGTGCGGACTGGAAAACGTTCCACCTGTTCCTCTGTGTCACTTTGGGGCACATCAAACCCGCCATCTGCACCTCTGCACACCCAGGAGGGAAATATCAATGGTGGGATGAGGGCTGTGGGGAGCTCCCAGGCACTGTGTGGTCAACGCAGCACTGGGGTGTGGCTAGGTTACAGAGGATTGCAGCACTGGTTTGCACCACAGGCTGGGGACCAGCAGCCAGATGTAGGGAACCACCTTCTTCTGCCTTCCATTTCCTTGTGAACACATGGGAAGCTTAGGCAGAGACCCAAGCATGTCAGTGCTCACCAGAAGGTCACAGGGAGTGACACTGTCCTGATTGCAGGGTTTCTATCTAGAGTCATGAAAAGGGTCTACATCACACGGTGGCCCTGGTTGCATGCTGGTGAATTCAATGCCCTGTGGCACTTTATCTCAAACAAAAATATATGAGCATAAAAACTTTACAAAGAGATTCTAAATTTGACCTGATTCTGTCAAATGTCCACTGTCCCTTAGAGCTTGGTGTGGCTGAGGGCTCATCCCAGGCTCAGTCCCCAGCACCATAACAAAACAGGACAAAAGGGTTTTGCCCTATGCTGGGTACTTAGAAATACAAGCCATCATCCTGTACCATTGAGAAGGTACCTCTGTCCACCCATTGTGAAGGACCACTTGGTCGTATCTAAATCAGAAAGACTCAGGATCCAGCTCTACTTAGCAGTGGCCAAGGGCCATGTGGGGCAGTTCAAAGGATTGGGGAGCATGTGGGGCAGTTCAAAGGATTGGGGAGTTTGGGGGTTCTGGTGCTCAAGTACCTGAGTAGATTGTGAGTGGGTATAAACCACTGATTCCCTAACAAGGGATTCTGGTGTCCTGGTCGAGGAAGGATGTGTCCTGTTCTGGGCCAATGCGACCCTCCTGTCTCAGCCCCTAACTCCTCCCTATACCTGATCCAACTTCCTCGGAGACATGGGATGTGGGTTTCCATGCAGCATCCTAGAGGGGAAGAGAGAATGTTCATCTTAGGTTGAGGTGAGGGTGAGGCAAGGCAGGATTCCCCAACACCAGCCCAAGGGCAGAGAGTCAGGGGACAGGGCCCGTGTCCTTCCAGGACCCATTTATAGCCCGTCCTCTGGGACAGAGCCACCATGGATCACCTGCTTTACACTCTAATGGCCTTATGTCCTGGCTGAACTCACAGGTGACAATGAGATGGACTGTCCTCTCCACAGTCACACCTGCTCCAGGGAAGGTCACCTGACAGGTGAGGTTGATGCCATGGTCCTGGGGCCGGGCTGTGAGGGTCAGCACTGAGGAGAGTGTGGTCCTGGGGCCCAGGGAGGTGAGGGCAGCTGACATCCAGGAAAATGTGGGGGGCGACTCTGTTCACAGGCCCAGGACACAGAGCAGGTCAGGCTGTTGGAATGGCCAGATGTTAGGGTCCGAGGAATAAGGATGTCAGGGGCGTGTATCAGAGCTGAGGAGGGGAGGGACAGGTGCATGAGTCATGGAAGAAATGACCAGATGTTCACCAGAGCACAGACTCTTCCTCAGGACGGCCATGTCCCCTCACCCAGCCATTGAGTCCAGCAGGTCTGCAAGGATGAGAACCAGGTGTCCCTTCCAGCTGGGTGTTGCCTCGAGCGCCCTCAGGTTCCCACCACATGATCTCATTGCTTACAGATCACATGCACCGACAGCTGTTCTCCGTAACTATATCTCACAGAATGATCTCCCTCCACCCTGAAGAAATACATTCCTGCGTCTCTTTTCTGTGCGTCTCTGATGAACAGAGAACAGTTCTGCTTCTCTGGGTCCCCGAGGAGATGGAATCAGTTCTTGGTCACCATGTGCACTGGCTTCACCTGTCCACAGCAGGGGCAGGAACAGTGACCACAGCATCACACATTGAGAGCTCCTGAATTCCTGTGCGTGAGCGGAGGAGGTTTGAACAGTTAAAAGCGGGTTGTTGAGGGCGATGGTCCCAGTTTCCGGTTTCACAGGCCTGAGATGCAGCATGACTGGAACCCCAGGAAACAGGTCAGAGAACCCAGGGACCACTGAACAGGAACTTCCCACTCACGTGTTACCAGAGCTGTCAAGGTCCTTGGAGAACAAACACTTCCCCTCTCCACATGGGGCATCATACACACACACAACAAAAATAATAATAGAATTTAAAATCTATACTTAAATTTATTTCAATATGTCTCCCACATTGCCTTCCACCGGCTTATCTTGAAGTTCTTCACAGAAGCAAAGTTCCATCTGTGATGGGTAATCTTGGTTGTCAACTTGATGCATCTGGTTAGAGGGAGCCTCAGTTGAGGAATTCCCTCTATCAGACTGGCCTATGGCTGTGTCTGTGGGGCATTTTTTGGATTGCTAATTGGAGGAGGGCCCGGTCCTATTGAAGAGGGCCGTCCCTAGGTAGGGCCACTTGGGCTATATAAGAAAGACTGAAGGAGAGCAAGGAAGAGGTTCAGACTGGTCAGGGACGAGGTCCGGACAGCTCTTTTTGGGCTTGGCGGAATGCCGCATTAGCCATAGATCAGGGAGAAACATCGTAAGTCTAAGTCACGGTACTGTAAGACATAGGATGTTAGACATAATCACCAGCTGACTAACCTTCCTGGAAATTGTTAAAATCTATAGACTGTGTAAGAAACTAATATACTCTTTGTAGCCTACTGACTAACTTTAAATGTAAACCTGTAGAATGTGCTTTGTTCTCTGTGAAACTAATTCTTTCATGTATTCTGGCACAAACACCAAGCTTGTGACTGTAGTTCTGACAGTATCAAAAAGCACTGCTAAAGAATTAAACTCACCCCTCTCCTCCAGAGGGTTGAGTCCTTTGCCTTCACTCATTTCGTCCGTCCACCAGCAGACCTGAGTCTCTACAAAAGGTAGCTGAGCAGACACTCTCCCACCATTTCTGCTTAGTTCCTGCCTCCAGGTTCCTGTCCTGATGCCCCCTTAGTGACGGGCTGTAACCTGGGGGTCTAAGCTGAAATAGGCTTTTCCTTCTCAAGTTACTTTGGTCCTGCCATTCATCACAACAACAGAAAAGCAAGCTGGGACCTGGTCTTATCTGAGCCCATGTCCCTAAAAGACAGTCTGCAGACTTCTTCCAGCGACAGGATGGAGGTGTGCGTTATGGCCGGTCACCACCAAGGGCAGCACAGAGAGGGTGTCTGTCCTGCCACACCCTTTCACCTTCTAGGCAGCAAGGTGCAAGAGTGTTCTCCTGTCCTCAATGTCTATCATTTTACATTTTAAATAACTGTGGTGAAGGTGTGGTTTTATTTGCAGTTTTTTTTTGTTTCAGTGTGCCTGCTTTTCATAAAACTGTAATCATTTCTGATTGTTTATATATATAGTATAAATATTTTTAAGATTTAAGCAAGGTGCAAGAGTGTTCTCCTGTCCTCAATGTCTATCATTTTACATTTTAAATAACTGTGGTGAAGGTGTGGTTTTATTTGCAGTTTTTTTTTGTTTCAGTGTGCCTGCTTTTCATAAAACTGTAATCATTTCTGATTGTTTATATATATAGTATAAATATTTTTAAGATTTAAAATATTGTCTTAGTTTGTTCTTCATTGCTGTGACAAAACACTCTGACCAGTACCAACTTGGGGAGGAAAGGGTTTATTTGTCTTACATCTCCCAGGTTGCACGCAGTTCATCAGGGAGCCCAAGGTAGGAACTCAGGGCAGGAACTTGGAGGCTGGAGCACAGGCCATGGAGGAACACTGCTTACTGGCTTGCTCCTCTGGCCCCTGCTCAGCCTGCTTTCTTATCCAACACAGGC